GCCCAGTTTCACCCACGTTTCACCGTAAATATATTTTATTTGTAGTTTGAAGTCTCTCTTGAAGCTTAGACTAAGAATACAAAATTGAAGTTCAAGTAATGAATGAAGATAATCTTTCATTATTTATTCATTCAGTCTCCTTATTTTTCTTTGGTATTTGATTAAAATAACTTGGTTGTAGATTGTAGAGCTTGTGAGTTGTGTGGTTTATTTGAACGTTAAGTAATTACTAGTTTTAATATCATATCCATGTCTACTCAAAAAAGTGAGGTTAGCATTAGCAGGTTAGGTTATTTGAATAACCGGTTAATTTGTGTCAATGTTTGTGTCGGTTAATTTTGTCAAGTTATTATTTTTTAAAGATAATTCCGGTTAACCTATAACCGGTTTTTTATCAATAACCGCCCATCTCTACGGTAAACTAATTTAGGTTAACTAATTAGGTTAACTTAAAGTCCCTAGATATATATAAGTCCCTATATATATATCTAGGGACTTTAGGTTAACTGTTCTTGGGTATCCCATATAATCAACTTTCTTATTTTATTTTATACGTATTTTATCATAATTGGAATCAATAATGTGAATAGTAGATTTTATTTGAGTTCTGGATTATTTATTATTTATGACATTTTTTTCAGTTCTTCACTGAGTTCTTAATGTGTACAATTAACAGGTACAATTAAAGTAATCATCTATCAAGTTAGGAATAAGAAAAAATTCATTTAAGACCCAAAGTAAAGTTTTTTGAGATTTGATAAGTACCTAATATAGAGCGTTAAGAAACACTAGAAGAAAAGTATAATTTTCAGTTACTGTAAATTAGTGCTAACAAGGTAAATATTAATACTAGTTAATTTAAAAGGGGATAACATAGTGGTGATAATTTTAGATGCCGGTTTATAGTAAAATCAAAAATATATGTATGTTAGGTGCTGTTTCTGGTTTAGCAGGGTTTTATTATCTGAAGGAAAAGAATGTTGCATTTACTTCATGGACATCGAATTATGAACCATCTCCTTGCGCTAAATGGGATGAGAACTGGGATCAGTAAGTAAAAAAATAGTTGGTATACCAAATAGTTTTTTAATATATTTTTTTTTCTTGAAAAACAGTTAGAAATTCCATAAATGCAGATTTAAAACCTACAATCCAAAAACACTAAATTTTTATGAAAAAAAAAGTTTCTGGTGTGGATTTTTAGTTTTTATCCTAATTATTATACAATATTTAATATATTTTATTGTATAATTATATTTACACTTAAAATAACAAATAATCTATTGTAAAAATCTTTTAGTCGTGCTCCTGAACATATTCGTTCCCGAAAAACATCTTTGGTTAATAAAGATAATAACAATAACATTAATATTGAAAAAAACACACCTAAAGCATGCAGAAATTTGATTCTTATTAGACATGGTCAATATAATTTGAAAGGATTATCAGATAAAGAAAGATATTTAACAGTGCTAGGTAGGTGTGTCATATGTTTTTAATATTAGAGTTAAAAATAGTTGTTTACATATTAATTCCATATTTATGATTCTTTATAGTTTGGCAAAAACATTTTAGGAAGGTTACAAGCTGAATACACTGGAAAACGGTTAAGAGAACTTAATTTGCCTTATACTAATATTGTTAAATCGACAATGGCTAGAGCAAATGAGACTGGAAGTATTATTTCAGTGCAGCTACCTACCGTAAGAATTGGATATTCATATATTTTTTTTTAAATGAAATAGTCTTTTTAGGTACCAGTATCACATTGTGATTTACTAAGGGAAGGTGCTCCAATTCCTCCAGAACCACCTTTAGGAGATTACAGACCAGAAGCTCATGTATGGAAGTTTTTTTATAATCGCAATTATGCGCATAATAATAATAATAATAATTTTTTTAACAATGGCAATTATGCGGATAGAGCATAATATAAAGTCTTGAAAAGCTAGTGTAGGTGTGGTTGTGTGAGTGTGCGTGTCTGCACTGGTGTGTGCGTGTCTGAACTGGTGTATACGGTTGCAAGTTGTTGAGGGCTGAGCCGTTTAATCTTTTTCTTCTTTTTTATACATTTCTCTCACTATTTATTTCTTATTCATATTGGTACCATGGCTAAGGTTATTGCGGCGGGTTGCTGTTGGCTACCTCCGCAGCTGTTCTGGACGAAGCCCGCAATCCTGGGCGACTCTGGCTCTTGGCTGCAAATTGGGGCTTTAGGCTCCCGTTTGCTCCTTTTATTTTCCATAATTTATTTTCGCTTCTTCATCAATTTTTTTTCCATCTTCTGGGTTGCACACGGTGCGTCGTTACATCGTTTGCTTCCTGGTTTTTTGTGTTTTAGGATCGGTTTCATCGCTTCCTGATTCCTGACCGTACTGATGAAGCCTGAAGGCAGTTACATCAGTGTACACTAGTGGTTGTGTGAGTGTGCGTGTCTGCACTGGTGTATACGGTTACGAGTTGTTGAGGGCTGAGCCGTTTACTCTTTTTCTTCTATATATATATATATTGTTTAATAGTATATTGGTGAGCCCGCTATATCGACGGGTCGTTCGTGCACCCGGCATTTGCGTATAACTTAGCAATGTATATTTGGCGTATATTTTTGGTAATTTTTGTGAGCCTTTTCAATAGGCCATAGAAAGGGGAAAGAAAATATTAATAATAAAAAAATATATATATCTTCAGGGTCTTGGTCAGCCCAGATATATTAACAGATTATTGGTAAGCCCATTTCATATATAATAGTTGTTCTACGGCCCTTGGTTATCCCAGCGGTGTTGCCAAACTCTCAAACGTAGAGATATGACTGGATTGCCGTTAAATCGTTTATCCGTAGTGTGTCGTGAACGCTCAATGTGCAGTTTAAATTTGAAGAGTGGCAAGGATATTTTGCGCGATGCAAAAACGAATTTTTAATAACAATAAATAAAATTCCAATTACTATATAAAGTAAATTAGTAATATTGAATTAAAAAGTATAAGAAATTTTGAAATGCAATATCTAATATTTTAATTTTACTAAATTGTTTCATTTATTGCCAATGAAAAAAGACCATAAATCAGTTCTGCACATCATTATCAAATAATAATATAATATATATTTTTATAATACAATATGTTATTTGACATATTAATTATATTTATATGCCGGGTGGTGCACGTCATTCGCCTTGGTTGATTATACGAAAACGGAAAGATGTAGGTAGAAAATATTTTATGGGTATAGGTGAGAAGGCAATGTGCATAATTTAAAATTATTTTGATGTGTACAGGGTATGTCATAACTAAGATCCACACCAAAGTTATATTTTTTCTTATGGAACACCCGATATTTTATTTTATTTTTGGATCCTTGAACACAAAATTAGGCATTTTAGGGTTAAATATGTTCACAAGCTTTGGTTTTTGAGATATTTAAATATATCTAAATATGTATGCGGGCAACGGCTCAGCTTCGTCGAAACACCGGTTCCCATTAAAACACCGAAGTTAAGCGAGGTAAGGTAATACTAGTGGATGGACGGGTGACCGGTTCGAATCTCTGTATCGCTGTCATAAAAAGGCATAAGTGTAAAATCTATTGACACGCACTGGTCATTCACGCCGGTTCGAGGCCGGATGAGATCGGATATCTCGTGAGCAAAAGTCGATTTAGACACTTGCCAAATCGGTAGGCCACTGACCACGATATGGCCGAGGACCGCGGTTCGGATTCCGCGTAAACAAAGTGGGCCTCGTCCAGATTAGCCCTGGCAGCAAAAAGGAGAGGTTAACTGAAATCTTTACTTTTAAATATGCATGCTATATAAAGATTGTCAACACCCCGTACATTACTTTTCAGAATTAATTCTTGTGCTGACTTTTAAGCCAGAGAAATAAATTTTGCTGAAAATGATTGATTACTTTGTATAATGTATACAGGGGTATCAAAAATTGCTGGTCTATTTCAAATGCAATACTCTGTATTTTCTAAAATAAGTCGAAGCATATTTAAATGGCCTTTCAAACTATATTAGGGCTTCCTATACCTATCTAGCTCCGATTTTGAATAAAGTGCAATTTTTCAATAAAATGGCAACCAAGAGGGCTGGTGTCATGACAATTCTATAGTGACAGTTATTAACTACGAAAAAAGTTTATAGACTTCATTTAAATTCATTGCAGTTTTCTTTTATTTACTACAATAGTTTAATAAATAAGTATTTATTATTTTATCAAGAAAAGCGAAGAAGTAATTTTTTTATTTATTTTACGATGAATATTAGATATATTGGATGCTTTATAAAAGAGCCAATTATGGCTAATTCATTTTCTTCCAAAGACAGGTTTCTGCCTAATAGGTTTACCACACTATAAGCTGTCCAAATTGGAAAAGTAGTTTTTCAAAGCTTAGCAAGAAGTTTCCTATTTGTATATCTTGCATTTTTCTTAATAAATATAAGTACTTACTTATTAAACAAAAAAAGTAAAATGTTATAAATTTAAATAAAATTCATAAACTAATTTAAATTTTGGTAATAGCTACTAAATGTTACAAGAAAATTGCTATGGCGACACCAGTCATCTTGATTGACATTTTTAAAAATTGCTTTTTCAAAATCTAGAGCCAGATAGGACACCCTCAAGAAACCATTAAACCAAGAACCAATCAAGAAAAATATACCCTTTAAAACTAAATCTTGAATAATTTAAAAACGATTTATTTTAGGTATCCTTAACATGTACAGGCAAAAAGTATCGAATTGAAAGACCTTTTCACTAGTGAAATAAAAAAAACTGAGTTTCCATTTGAAAAAAAATATTTATGATAATTCTTTAATCGTCCAATTCCATGACAGCTACCGCCATTATTATATTACATTCGAATAATTCAATTTTTGAAACAGATAGCCACATGTCTTTTCTTTATGTCACAGTGATTGTGGTAATCACTAAATTATTGAAAATATTTTTAATCGATAGATCTCGTTGTGAAACAATGAGGTGCAAAAAATCTCCGATCTAGATATTGTAATTTTCTAGAAATTTCTGGAGAAAAATATGGAGAGGCAATGTGCATAATTTACAATTATTTTGAAATGTACAAGCTATCTCAGAACTAAGATCGTTTACAAGCTTTGGTTTTTGAGATATTTAAATATATCTAAATATGCATGCTATAAATAAAGATTGTCAACACTCTGTACATTACTTTTCAGAATTAATTTTTTGCTGACTTTTAAGCCAGACAAATAAATTTTACTGAAAAATTTGATTGCTTTGTTTAATGTATACAGGTGTATCAAAAATTGCTGGTCTATTTTAAATATTTATTTTACATAAAAACTTCGTTATTTCAAATGTAATACTCTGTATTTTTTAAATAAGTCAAAATCAAATTGTTAAAATTTAATATTTAGCTCCGATTTTGAATAAAGAGCAATTTTTCAATAAAATAGCAACCAAGAGAGCTGGTGTCGTCATGGCAATTTTATAGTGATAGTTCCTAGCTATTTTCGAAAAAAGTTTATAGACTTCATTTAAATTTATAGCAGTTTACTTTTTTTATAGCAGTTTAATAAATAGATATTTATTGTTTTATCAGGAAAAGCGAAGAAATAGTTCTTTGATTTATTTTAGGATGACTATTAGATATAGTGGATGCTCTATAAAAGAGCCAATTATGGCTAATCCATTTTCTTCACTTCCAAAGACAGATTTCTGCCTAATAGGTTTACCACGCTACCAACTATGCCAAATTGGAAAAGTAGTTTTTCTAAGCTTAGCAAGAAGATTCCTATTTGGATATCTTTGGAAATAAGCCCTTCAGACTAAGAAGTAATTTTCCTCACAAAATAAAATCATTAGTAATAGATCCATGTCTTCCGCCAGCAGACTGCTTCATTTTTCTTAATAAAATAAATATTAAATACCTACTTATCAAACAAAAAAATAAAATAAAATGTTATACATTTAAATAAAGTCCATAAACTAATTTAGAATTTGAAAATAGCTACTAACTGTCACTAGAAAATTGCTATGGCGACACCGGCCATCTTGATTGACATTTTATTAAAAATTCGATTTTTATTCAAAATCTGAGCCAGATAGGTATAGGACACCCTAATATAGTTTGAAAAATTGGTCAAGTGCGAGTCGGACTCGCTCACGAAGGGTTCCGTACCATTCATTATCTATACAACATTAGACATTATATTATAAACTTGTTTTCCGATTTAGCTGAAATTTTGAATCCGCGTATAAGTAATTTAAAAAAAATTAAGAAACACATTACTAAAAATTATATTAATCAATAATAAATATGTAAAAAGTAAAAATAAATATATAAAAATATGAAAAAATTAAAAAAAAAAACGATTAAAAAAAGTCGCCTTGACTACGATTCGAACCTGCCTCACTACGGCTCAACGCAACGCCTTCAAGTCCTAACGCCTTTAACCACGCGACCACTTGAGGACTTGAAATATTCTGTGTAAAATTCTTACTTAAACGATAATGTTTAGTGAAACTACTTTTTTGTTTATAAACATTTATTTAATTCGGTTTTAAGTATTTCTTCTTATAGCGGCAACATAGATACATTATCTGTAAAAATTTAAACTGTCTAGCTATAACGGTTCATAAGATAGACTTTTGTGACAGACGGACGGACGGACAGCGAAGTCTTAGTAATAGGGTTCCCGTTTTTATCCTTTGGGTACGGAACCCTAAAATGCATTTAAATAGGTTTCTATTTATTTTAAAAAGTTATGGTTTTGCATTTGAAATAAGGAAGTTTTTATGTAAAATACATATTTAAAATAGATTAGCAATTTTTGGTAACCCTGTGTACACTTAA